CTGGTTGAATTGTCATTTTTGCTGCAGCTAGTTATGGAAGTTTGTTGAAAGAATCAATTAGATTGTATGTAATGGGCCAAAAATAAATTTAGGATTATTTAAAAATAAGCACAGAAAAGAAAGTGAAAGACCTCTGCAAGGAAAACTTTAAAACACCAAAGTAAAAAACAATTGAAGATACTAGAATATAGAAAGAATTCCCATGCTCATATTATGATTGTACAATTACATTATGAAAGTGACTCCTTGGTCAAAAGTAAGCTATAGATTAAATGGAATCTCTATCACAATACCAGTAACATTTTCCAAAGAAATAGAAAAATTAAGAAAACTTTGTGGTAAACAATTCAAATAAACAAAGCAATCCTGAACAAAATGAATACTGTTAAAAGATCCATGATAGTTGATATTGAGTTACTCTACAGAGAAATAATATCAAAAACAAATTTGTATTGGCAGAAAAACAGACATATAAATCAATACAATGGAATCTCCAGAATTAAAGTCACACAGTTGAAACTAGCTATTATTGGCAAAGATATCAAAAACAAAAATAAAGGAGACAGCTTCAAGAAATGGTACAGGAAAACTGGATATTCATCATATACAAAAATCAATTAAAGATGGATCAAATATGATAATGTAAGAATCATAAATCTGAATCTGTTAGCGAAAAATGGGGTAAATACTTGAATATATAGGCTAAGGTGAACACTTTCTCAGGAAATGAAACCAAGAACTGGTAAGTAGGAGTACAATAAAATTATTACAAGAACTTTAAAATGTTTGAGGAAGCAAAAAAAAAAACACAATTATTTGAGTGATGAGCTAGCCTAAAGAATGAGAGAAAATCTTTGCTAGCTCTAATCTGAGAGATGGTTAGTATAAAGAATATAGAAAATACCCAAAACTAATTAAATGCCAAGAAACAGTATAAATCGACAAATCGAATAGTAAAGAGGCAATTGAAATAAACAGTGATTTCTCAAAATATAAAGTTTAAGTGGACAATAAATACATGAAATAAATATTCAGTATCTTTTGCCATGAGAAAAACACATTAAAATAATATTGAGATAATATCTCAGTCCAGTAAGAATAGCTGTTATTAAGAAAGCTAATAACAATCAATGTCATTGAGCATATGAGATAAATGAACACTTACATACATACCTTTGGTAGGCTGGTGGGAATGCAAGCTGGTGCAATGACGATGCAAATTAGCAGACTGAAAAGAAAACTACCACAGGACTTAACTGGACCAATTCTGGACACATAAATGAAGGAATTTAAGTTGATGGACAGAGAATTTGTGTTTATTATAGCAACATTCAGCATATCCCAAGTTAAACAGTCAACTGTAAGCATCAAAAATACATGGGTAAACACAATATGGTTTCAAATAGAAGGATGGCGTTTTATTCAGCCATAAAGAAGAATGAAATCATATCACTTTTATCTGTCTGCCTACCTGCCCATCCATCCATCCATCCATTCATCCATCATCTATTTATTTTTGTTTTGTTTTTACATCCAGATAACACTTTCACCTGCCTTCTCTTTTCTCAGTCTCTCTCACAAACTCCCCACATCCACTCCTCCTCCTCCTCTGTTTCTCTTCAGAAAATGGAGGCACCTCCTCTCCTATTAAGGCTGGACAAAGCAACCCAGTAGGAGGAAAGGGTCCCAAAAGCAGGTAACAGAGTCAGAGTCAGTGCCTGCTCCCACTGTTAGGAGGCTCACAACTCTAACATATATTCAGATGGCCTAGGTTAGTCCCATGCAGGTTCCCCAGTTGTGGGTTCAGTCTCTGTGAGCTGCTGTGAGCCCAGATTAGTTGATCCTGTGGGTTTTCTTTTGATGTCCTTGGCTCCTCTGTCTTTTACAACCCTTTCTTGCCTTCTTCCACAAGATTTCTGTCTAATGTTTGGCTTTGGATCTTTGCATCTGTTTCCATCAGTTACTGGGTAAATCCTATCTGATGACCATTTGGCTAGGCACCAATCTATGAGTACAGCAGAATATCATTATAAGTAATGTCATTGTCAGTTGTGTTTGGTTCTTTCCTAGGTCTCTGGGCTATCCTTCCTCTTGGTCTTGGCCCTCCAAGCAGTTATCAGGGGATGAGCCCATTGTATGGGTCTCAAGCTGGACCAGTCACTGTTTGGCCGCTTCCACAATTTCTGTACCACTTTATCCTAGCACATCTTCTGGGCAGGACAAATTGTAGGTAGAAGTCTGGGTTTATGATTGGGTTGATGTCTCAATCACTCCACTGGAAGCTTGCCTGGTTTAGACTCTTTTCCCCCCATTACTAGAAGTCTTAGCTAGGGTCGCCCTCACAGATTCCAAGCAGTTTACATTGCACTGGGTTTCTAGCTTTTCCCAGAGATGGTCCCTGATTCCAGGTGTCTCTCTAGTGATCTCTCCCTCCAACCTCCCCAACATGATTCCTCTTGTTTTCACTTCCAATCCCCATCCAGACACCCCTCATCCACCAGCAATGTCTATTCTATTGAACCTTCACAGTGAGATTCATGTATCCCCCCTTATCATTTAGCTCCTCTGGGTCTGTGGGTTGTAGCATGGTTACTCATTATTTTACAGCTATATCTACTTATATTTTTCTTTCTAGGCCTGGGTTTCCTCATTCAGGATGATCTTTTCTAGTTCCATCCATTTGCCAGCAAATTTCATGATGTCATTGTATTTAACAGAGGAGTAATACACCATTGCGCAAATGTAGCACATTTTCTTTCTTTTTTGGTTGAGGGACTGCTGTGGGATGTTCTGTATGTCCTGTGGGAGCCCTTCTTGGGTTCTTTGTGGCGTTACCCAGCAGGTCCGCATAGAGGATGATTAGGACCATGGGCCTGAGTGCAGGTGTCTGAGATGGTCTGCACTTGGCTGTGCTGGGGGATGGTCTGTGTCAAGTTGTTCTGATTGATCAATAAATAAAACCTGATCGGCTGTGGCTAGGCAGGAAGGATAGGCGGGACTAACAGAGAGGAGAAATAAAAGGACAGGAAGGCAGAAGGACTGGCTGCAGCCGCCACCATGACCAGCAGCATGTGAAGTCACCGGGAAGCCACCAGCCACGTGGCAAGGTATAGATTTATGGAAATGGATTAATTTAAGATAAAAGAATAGTTAGCAAGAAGCCTGCCACGGCCATACAGTTTGTAAGCAATATAAGTCTCTGTGTTTACTTGGTTGGGTCTGAGCGGCTGTGGGACTGGTGGGTGACAAAGATTTGTCCTGACTGTGGGCAAAGCAGGAAAACTCTAGCGACAAGGGACACCTAGGTTGTTTCTAGTTTCTGGCTAGTATGAGTAAAGCTGCTATGAACATAGGTCAGCAAGTATCCATTATTATGTGTTGCTGGAGGGCTTCTCTCCAGGTTCCACCAAACCCCACAGTCCCACAATCCACGTATAAAATAATCACTCAGACACTTATATTACTTATAAACTGTATGGCCGTGGCAGGCTTCTTGCTAACTGTCCTTTTATCTTAAATTAACCCATTTTTATAAATCTATACCTTGCTACGTGGCTGGTGGCTTACCAGCATCTTTATATGCTGCTTTTCCTGGCAGTGTCTGCAGTGTCTCTCCTTCCTTCCTGTTTCCCCAATTCTCTTCTCTCCTTGTCTCGCCTATACTTCCTGTCTGGTCACTGGCCATCAGTGTTTTATTTATATAGAGCGATATCCACAGCAATTATGGTGGAGTGTACTTTGAGTATAAGCCCAAGAGTGATACAGCTGGGTCGTTAGGTAGATCGATTCCCAATTTTCTGAGAAACTGCCATAATGATTTCCAAAGTGGCTGTGCATGTTTGCATTCTCACCAGAAGTAGAGGAGTGTTTCCTTTATTCCACATCCCCACCAGCACAAACTGTCACTTGTGGTTTTCATCTTAGCCATTATGACAGGTATAATATGGAATCTCCATGTTGTGTGAATTTGCTCTGCCAATGACCTTGGGGTATCTGGCCCAATAGAGGCATGTTTTTTTCTGGGTACATGACTGCTTAAATTGAGGAGCTCTCTCTCTCTCTCTCTCTCTCTCTCTCTCTCTCTCTCTCTCTCTCTCTCTCTCGCTCTCGCTCTCGCTCTCGCTCTCGCTCTCGCTCTCTCTCTCTCGGTCAGAGACAGGATGACTGGTTCCACTCATGCCCAGACAGAATAGAGGACAGACGGTTATTATTTTGTTCTGTATCAGTGAGTGTATTTCTCCCTACTTTATGTCTTAATTAATCCTTGATACCCTTTAACAGACTCTTGTATATTTGCTTAACATCTCCAAGTAGTTTTGATTTGTGATTCTTTGATGGCTAAGGATGTTGAACATTAAGTTAAGTGATTCTCAGCCATTCTCTGCTTAGCGCTGTAGCCCATTTTTTAAATTAGACTATTTGGTTTGTTGATGTCTAAGTTCTTGAGTTCTTTATAGTTGGAAATCAGCCTTCTGTCAGATGTTGGGTTGCTGAAGATCTTTTCCCTTTTTGTAGGCTGCTATCTTGTCCTCTTGAGGGTGTCATTTGCCTTACAGAAGTTTCATGAGGTTGCATTTATCAATTGCTGATCTTAGTGCCTGCATTATTGGTATCCTGTGCCAGTGTGTTCAAGGCTATTACCCACTTTCTCTTCTGTCAGGCTCAGTGTATCTGGATATATGTTGAAGTCTTTGATCCACTTGGACTTGAGTTTTGTGCATGGCAACAGATATGGATCTATTTGCATATCTTCTACATGCCAACACTCACTTAGACCAGCACTATTGTTGATGATGCTTTCTTTCTTCCATTGTATAATTTTGACTTGTCAGAAATCAAGTGTCCATATGTGTGTGTGTATTTTTTTCTCAGTCTTCAATATGATTCCATTGATCAACCTGTCTGTTTTTAGGCCAATACCATGTGGTTTTTGTTATTATTTCTCTGTAGTACAACTTGTAATCAAGGATAGAGATTCCCCCAGATGATCTTTTGTTGTACACCAATTTTAAGCTATCCTAGCTTTTTTTTGTTGTTGTTGTTGTTTGTTTTTCCACATGAAGTTAAGTATTATTCTTTAAAGGTCTATAAAGAATTGTGGTGTAATTTTGATGGGAATTGTTTTGAATCTGTAGATTGCTTTTTGTAAGATGGCGGCTTTTACTATGTTAATCCTACAGATCAATGAACAAGGGAGATCTTTCCATCTTCTGATATCTTCTAAAATTTCGTTCTTCAAAGACTTGAATTACTTAAATTACATCACTTTTAAAGAAATATGTACAAATTGTAAATCATCAAATTAAGCAACAAAAACCCTCATAAATGTAAAACATTTTATGTTTTAACTCATTTGTTGTTTTATAGTTTTTACACCTCCACCCACAATGTGTGTCTGTCTATCTATTTATCTATGTATCTATCATTTATCATCTATTTATCTATCATTATTTATTTATTTACTTCAAGAAAGTAGAAAGGAACCTGGGGAAATACATGAGACTAATGTAGCAGTTGGAAAGAAGGAGGTGAAGAAGCTATGAGGATGAAGGTGTTTAAAGTACATGATACACTGGAAAGAAATGCTCTCCAAGTAACAGTGATTATTTGTCAACATAATCTGATCATTTAGGCTGGGCTAGCTGTGTATTCCTATAATTTCAGCATGGAAATTAGAGACATGAGAGTTCAGATTTCAAAACCAGGTTAGGTAGGGTGAATTTGACACCCATTTGAGTTACTTAGTAAGATTTTGTCTCTCACACACAAAAAAACCCTTAAAACCAAAAAGAAAATAAAATTGTTTTTTGGGTGTTACATAGAACAAACATAAAAATTATGTGAATTTTGGGCAGAAAATACCTAATCTGTTCTGTTCTCTCTCTGTCTCACTATCCCTGTCTCTCTGCTTCTGTCTTTGTCTCTCTCTCTCTCTCTCTCTCTCTCTCTCTCTCTCTCTCTCTCTCTCTCTTTCTGTGTGTGTGTGTGTGTGTGTGTGTGTGTGTGTGTGTGTGTGTGTGTGTGTGTGTTGGATGATTTTGGTAAACTTGGCACAATAATAGTCATATCTTGGAAGACCAGATTATAATTGAGACAATCTTTGAAAAAGATTGGCCTGGGAGGTAGACAGGCATGGCGGCGGAAGTAGGCAGAGGCACGTAGGCCCTGCGGTGACCGGCAGAGACAGACTGGCCCGGCCACAGCCAGCAGAGGCACATAGGCCTGGTAGTGGTCCGTAGAGGCAGGTAGGCCCGGCGGCGGCCTGCAGAGGTATACAGGCCCTGCGGTGGCCTACATTGGTAGACAGGCCCAGCAGAGGCAGGCAGGCCTGGCAGAGGTAGACAAGTCCAGTGCGGAGGCAGGCAGGCCCAGCAGGCGGCAGCTGAAACACAGTTGCAATAAAGACCAGAAACTGAGCAATTCCCCGTTGAAGAGCTAGTGAAAAAAAGCTCTTAATCAAGAGCTTGAAACAGGGATGTCTTTAATCCCAACACCCAGGGAAGAAGCTATCTCTGTGGCATGGAACCAGAATAAATCTGAACACTCCGTCTGAGGCCAACCCAGGGCCCAGCTGCTGATCCTGCAAAACCCAACAACTTGGAGGTGTTGGTGAGACTACCCTCCTTAGATGAAATCCATCCGGGAGAGGATTCAGATCCCTACAGTCTGAAGTCTGAAGAAACAAGATCAGCTGAGGAGTCAATGAATGAACAAAATGTGACCTGGGAACACAGAAGAACGCACTGACCAGCCACCAAACCAGATCACCAGAATCATAAGTATATACTTCACCGACTGAAATCAGCTGCTCCTGAAGAAACAACCCAACAGCAACAATTTAACCAGGAACTCCTAGTGAACCAAGACTAAAAATTAGAAAAAGAGATGCACTTTCAGACACCGACACTGCCTGCACCGAGCAGAGGAAGAGATGAGTAGACGCCAGTGCAAAAATACAGGCAACAACATAAAGACCTATATGGCAACATCAGAACATAGTGATACTACACTTGCAAGACCTGAACACACCAAGACAGAAGAAACAGAAGAAACAGAAGAAATCAACCCTAAAAATGACTTTAAGAAGATGATAGAGGCCCTTAAAGAAGAAATAAAA